CTAAATAGGCTCCAGAGGGAAGACGGAGCCTTAGGTTTAACTCTGGTGAAGGGATGTAACTCAGCTGGTAGGGAGCTTCCGTAAAATACACAAAACCTTGGGTCCCATCTCCAGTGCCAAATAAACTGGGTATAATGACTCCAAAATTGTAATCCCAGGTTTTAGGAAGTCAAGGCAGGGGGATTAGAAATTTGAGGTCATTTTTGGATACTTACTGAACTTCAGGCCACCCTGGGCTACACAAGACCCTTCTTCAGAAACACCAGGGGTTTCTCACAGCTCTGGAATCTAGAGGTCTGAGATGAAGGTGCCAGCTCTCTGATAAAGGCCTTCTTCCTTGGGTGCCTTTCGTAACTCTTCCAGCCTTTCCTTGGGCCTCTCTGTAGGTAGAGAGGATGAATGAAAGAAAGGAGATTGGAAAAGGAATATGGAAAAAACAAGAAACTGATATGTTCAATAAACTCGATGCTTTAATAAGCAAAGATGGAGAATACTAACTTCAGCTGACAGAGCAAAGCACTGACAAAAACGTGGGTGTGATAACATGGAGAACCCCCAGTGAGCTTCCTCTCGGCAGACCATTCACACGCTTATTAACTCCTCTTTAGCATGCAGGGAATCTTAATCTGTCCAGGGGCAGGAGACAGTGCTGTGTGTGCTTAAAGTCACCCCTGTTGTCAAGCTTGATTACCTGAGTTCAAAGAAGAGAACGACTCCCACAAGTTGTCCTCTGGCCTCTACACAGTTAGGTGTGTGTGTGTGTGTGTGTGTGTACATGCGTACATGTGTGTAGACACACACACTAAATAAATAATATATAAATGTAAAACAAAAACCATTCAAGTCCAAAACATGAGACAACTTTTTTTTTTTTTTTTGGTTTTTCGAGACAGGGTTTCTCTGTGGCTTTGGAGCCTGTCCTGGCACTAGCTCTGTAGACCAGGCTGGTCTCGAACTCACAGAGATCTGCCTGCCTCTGCCTCCCGAGTGCTGGAATTAAAGGCATGCGCCACCGTCGCCCGGCATGAGACAACTTTTTAAGGCTAGGCCAAAACCCAAATATAACTGAGGCGCCAACACAATCGCTAGTTATGAATGTCAAATGTCTAATAAATATTTAATATAAAATGTGTCCAGAGTGTACAGCCAAAAGAGAACAAATGTTTTTGTTTGTCTTGCTTTGTTTTTCAATACAGGTTTTCTCTGTGTAGCACTGGCTGTCCTAGAATAGCTCTGTAGACCAGGCTGGCATCCAACTCACAGAGATCTGCCTGCCTCTGCCTCCTGAGCACTGGAAGTAAAGGTGTGCACCACCACTGGGCAACAATGAATTTTAATGTACCCAGGTATCCCTGTAAAAGATGAGATCAGCAACATCTAGAGTTCAAAGAAATTAAAATTATTGACATTTGGATTTGTAGTTGAATCCTGAATATATCTGTCTAGACTTCCCATGGACAGTGATTAAAATGTAATTTTTAAGAGGCTGAGAAAACAAAGTACTTGGTGTCTTAGTTAGGATTTATATTACTGTGAAGTGACACCATGACCATGGCAACTCTTACAAAGGAAGATATTTAATTGGGGTTAGCTTACAGTTTCACAGATTTAGTCAATTGTCATCATGGGGAGAAGGAAGTAGGCACAGGCAGACATGGTGTTGAAGAAGTAGCTGAGAGTTATAACTGGATCTGTAGGCAGCAGGAAGATACTGTCACACTGGGTATGACTTGAGCATCTAAGGCCTCGAAGCCTACCCCCAGTGATACACCTACTTCGACAAGGCCACACCTCCTAATAGAAATACTCCCCATGGGTCTATGGGGGCCATTTTTATTCATACCACCACACACGGGAAAGTACCTGCTGTGCAAGCATGAGGACCTGAGCTTAAATCCCCATCAACTGAGTAAAAGATGGACTTGGTGGTGCATGTCTGTAATCTTGACATTCCATGTTATAAGAAGTAAGATTCCTGGAGAGTGCTGGCCAGATAGTCTAGATGAATCAGTGGGCTCCCCATTTGGTGAGAGACTCCTGTCTCCAAAAATAAGACAGACTGACTATTTAAGAAGAC